AAGAAAGAAAGAAGTAGCTATGTCTCAAACAATGACAGGAGCAGATATTTCAGCCAAGCACAGGCAGTAAACTGCCCAGACTGTCCAGGTGAGGCAAACAGGGACTGTACCCAATCAGGCTCCTATATACTTCATGCCTTCCTTTTTTCTGTCTATGAATACTGCGGGCCACATCGCTGGGTGAAGCTCTCTGAACCGTTTCTGTCCCTGAATGTTGCCATATTCATAAAGTGTTTGCTCAGATTGTTTCTGCTAAATTAGATGAAATGATGGAGGCTGCTGGCCTGAAGAATTTGCCCACGGGCTAACTAAAGAGGGACGTCCTAGGAGACTGGGAGAAAGTGCACATTTGCTTTCTCCACTTGTTTCCCAGTTGGTGTGCCAAGCGTTGGTGTCTTTCCACACTGTTAAACTTTCCTGTATATTTGAAGGTTTAGCATAGCAAAAGTCAGATCAAAAGATGAGAACAATTTATACCATCAAGTCACCTTAGAATCTCTGATGGCAAAAAGCCAGCCACAGATCCCCAGAAGTCCCAAGCAACTGTCCTGGAGGGGGAGGCACCTGTTTTTATCCTTCCTGGAAATCTGGTAGAGTTAGACAAGTACTGAGCCTGGGTGGGATAAGGGCAGCAAGTCCTGACAGAGTCCCAAGTACTCATGTCCACTGGTCTCTTGGAGAGTGACTGGCAGCAAATGGTGAAGTGGCTCTGGTGAGGCCTCTTGAAATGTATGGGAGTGAGTGGAGTCTCTTAGATGAGACACGCGACTGAAACAGGGAAATGGGAGTCTGCCTATCTTTTTTTTGGGGGGGGTAAAACAGTGTCTGGAGTTATTAAATTTGGGCATTCCCATTGTTTTGGCAACAAAACGAGGGAACTGAGATTCTATGTCACTTTTGTTTACAGCTCAAGGGTACCAGAGTTCACAGTGCTCCATACAGTTGGAATCTGGGTCAAAAATTGGATTTATTAACCAAGTCTAGACCTTTTGGAGCCAACAATTACATGGGCTGTTTGGTTTTCTGGATCAGTTGCTAGAGGCAGCGGTCTGACTTCCTGCAAGTCTAATTTGTACACAGAAGGTTGGCTTCCTGGGCTGGTTACTGTAGATAATGGATTAGAGTGCTATTTTTATATGTATTTTGGCAATTTCCCATTTGTATATTTAGTCATCCAATCTTTTAGTGACTATTTGGTTTTCTAGTCTGAGTGTAGGAAGATTAATTCATAAAGGAGAAATGGCTAAAAATTTATTTAAATGAATACTACTTTTCATATGCAGTGCTTTAATATTATTTTTTAAATTTACATTTAATCATTATACATCTTTATAGCATACGACACTGGTTCTCAAGCATAAAAACATTTGATGTGTTTAATTCTACATTTAAAATGTAGAATATTGTTAGATTCTTCAGATGAAATCAGGAATTTATGTAGCGCTGGTATTTATTTTGTAATTAAGAAAAATGAAACTCTTGGGAACCAGGAGTTAGCGTAATGGCTATGTCGCTGGACTCCCACGTAGTCAACCGCGGTTCACGTCCCGGACCTGGTGGCTTAAAACTCACGCCAGGCACGTGTGCGTGCATGCCCAAGATCCCGAGAGGAGAATGGAGGAGAAGGGATTGCGGCCTGACCATCCCCCCTGGGGGGTGATTTCTCGCTTTCTGTCTCTATGTCTCTCTCTGTTTGTCTGGCGAGCGCACGCGTCCTATAGCGAAAATCTCTCCAAAAAAAAAAAAAAAAGAAAAATGAAACTCCAAGAGGAGAAACTAAACGCTCTATCGTATGGATCGCCAGGTAGGGACTGCAAAGTTGGGGCCTCACAGATTCCTGACCCTGCCTGTTCAGTGTCGCCTATTCTGTCTCTGTCCAGAGAGTCAGATAAAGAGGAACCTGAGTGTGCCATTTGTATTTCCACTCTGCTGAAAGTTGATGAGCATTTTAACCTAAATAGAAAGAGTACAAAATGTGTTCTTTAAATCATTTCTGTGATTTTCTTTTCACTAAAATCCCTTATTTGAATTAAAATTTTAAACTGGTGCTTTAAAAAAATTGCTGGAAGATTTGTGCTCACCCTCTAGAAAGACACACACACACACACACACAGAGAGAGAGAGAGAGAGAGAGGTAGAGAGAGAGCAAGCAAGGGAGGAAAGGAGAATGCACCCAACAAGGGCAATGGTGGCACACAATCCTTTCTCCACTTCTTCTTTTGGGAGTTTGCACACAAATGTACACATATATGATGTTCTTTTCAAGCTTCCAGGTCCAGAACTTGAACTGCATGGTTGGTCACATGAGATCCAGCTGTCTTAACTACTAACCATAGTCTGGCCCTAACCTGATATATTTTACAACTTGTGATTATTAGATAATTATATCTTTGAAAATACTATTAGTTCCATGCTATCTTAACACATATATTGCCACTGGTTCTTTTTTTTTTTATTAGGAATGAGTATTTCCTATACATACCAGAAGGTTGTCTAAGGATTTAAGACATCTACTAAATAAATCAGTTAATTAAATCCAACAGCTATTGAGCTATATACTAGGTATTGGCAGCCCCTAAATTTTAAATGCAACAAACAAACAAAACAGAAACAAAATAAATTCAGTACCTACTTCCAAAGACCTCAGGGGCTTTCGGGGAGAACAAATACATAGAAAGATATTATTAGGCAATTTCAGTGCTAAGAGGATGGTGATCTGGGTGGCAGAGGCTTCAGGGTTAACTTAAATTTAGTCTCCAGTGCTGAGTGGAGTGAGTTGAGCAAAGATGAGATATAAAGGTATTCAAACAGAGGAAGTCATAGCTGCAAAGAATGGCAATGTTTTGTTGGGACAGAGTGGAGAGAAAAGAATTACAAACCAATTTAGTGGTGTTCCTTGGGTACAGTATTCATCAGAGAGTGACAAAGTTAGAGAGGAAGGGAAGAGCGAGATGGTAGTGATTTCAGAAGGTCGTATTAAGAGGATTAGACATTATTTTGTGGGTAGCAGGAGACTTCTGGAAGGATTTTAGTCAGGGGTATGTTATAGTCAGATTTGCATTTTAAACAGATCCCTTTGGCAATATAAGGAGCTTATATCTGGGAGTCAAAGATGGACTCAAGGAGACAAGTTGAAATAATTCAAAGGAATAATTAAAGCTTGAACTAAGGCAGTCGAGGTAGACCTGACACAAAGTAGAAGAGAATAGGGGGCAAGATACTAAGAAAAAAAAAAAAAAACACCTGCAGAATCTTCTGACTAATGGATTTGAGGAGTAGCAGTTAAAGAAAGGGAAAGACAAACTTCAAGCTTGACTGGTTGGCTTGAGAGGAGGAAGCATTAAGTTAGTATGATATGTTCTTACCTGAGTATCTAAATGTTAAATTTGTGTTATCCATAGGTCTTCTAAGTGGACTCATTTGGTAGGCAGTTGGATAAATGAGTCTAAAGACAAGGCAGATATTAAAATATTTAGAAATCACTAACCGTCAAATGATTGCTAGCTGGACCTTGGAGAGTAAAGTCACAGAAAGAGCATGCATAGAGTGAAAAAGACAGTGGCTAAACTAGTGCCTTGGAGACAACCAGCTTGTATGGGGTGTGTGCAAGAAGAGAAGGTATGAATGACATAGAGAAGCTATTAGAAACAGCACACAACACATGAAGATGAACTATCAGTGAAGCAAAGAGAATTGAAGACATATATAAGGAAAAATGAAAGAGTTGTCAATGGCTGAAAAATATCTTATAAATTTGTCAATTAAAAGGCAGTAGGAAGGGAACCAGCAGTTAGCGTAATGGCCATGTCGCTGGACTCCCACGTAGTCGACCGCAGTTCGCGTCCCGGACCCAGTGGCTTAAAACTCATGCCGGGGGCGTGTGCATGTGTGCCCAAGACCCCGAGAGGAGAATGGAGGAGAAGAGATTGCAGCATGACCATCCCCTCTGGGGGGTGATTTCTCACTTTTTGTCTCTCTGTCTCTCTCTGTCTGTCTGGCGAGCGCATGCGCCCTAGCAAAAACCTCTCCAAAAAAAAAGGCAGTAGGGGGACCAGAAGATGGTTACATCACTGGACTCCCACACAGTAAACCTTGGTTCAAGTCTCAGACCAGGCAGTTTAAAACTCATGCTGGGAGCATGTGCATGCAGGTCCGAAATCCCAAAAGAAGAATGGGGGAGAAGAGATTGCAGCATGACCATCTCTTCCCCCTCACCCCCACCCCTCAGCGGTGAATTTTCACTTTCTGTCTCTGTCTCTTCAGTGAGTGAACACACCCTATAGCAAAAATCTTTCTCCCCTAAAAAAGGCAGTAGGGGGCTGACTTGTGATTCAGTGATAATGTGTTGTTTAAGAGAAGCTGGGCTCCACATGGCAACTGTGGTTCGAATTCCTGGCCTGGCCAGTCTGAAATGGGCCAGGTATGTTGTGAATGCCTAAGGACTCATTGGCTACAGGACTAGAGGAAGGGGATTGTGGAGTGACCAGAACCCTCTCTTTTTCCTCTCACTTTCAGGTACATGCACTCTCTATCATGAATAATGAAAAACATTAAAAGGCAGTAGATTATCTTAGCAAAAACAGTTTTAATAGAATGGGTGTACTGAACTCATGTCACAGTGGGTGGCAAAATGAATGGAAAATGGGAAGTACAGAGAGTGAATGTAATGAGCTCTTTAAGAAGTTTCCTTGAAGATGTGTACAAGGAAATTTCCTTGAAGATGTGTACAAGGGAGTGTTAATAAAGAAGACTGGAGACTCACTGAGGTGTTCTTTCTCCAAACAGAAAAACTTTTATTTGCCAGCCATATTAACCTATACACTTAAGAAAAAATGCCGCGTGGGATCTATGTCCGCTGTATGTAAATGTTATAGTCTCCAACATAGTCTAAGTTTCCAACATATTGAAAGCATTTTAGAAAACCACTGCTTATTATTTTAAAAGGAATTTGAGAAGAATTTACTTTTGTCTAACAGAATATAACTCTGGTTAATACACAGAATCAACAGAGGAGCTGAAAGTCCGAAGCCACAGCACGGAGCCATTACCAAAGTTGGACATGAAGGAGAGAGGGCACCATGGGGCATCTTCCTCCAGAGAGCCTGTCAAAGCTCAGGAATGGGATGGAACCCCGGGTCCACCTGTGGTCACCAGTAGAATGGGAAGATGCTCTGTGAGCCCCACTTTGTTGGCAGGAAACCACAGTTCAGGTAAGAAGGATTGTGCTCTTCTACTTGGTAATTCCTCCCGTCTCCAGAAACTATTTCATACAGTTATTATTGTCAGCATACATATGCCTGTCGCCACTTATAAAGACAGCATATATAGTCCTTCATCTAGGATATGTAACAGAATATACTAATCTATGGTGCCACTCCAGGGTACAACTATTCACAGAGACAAAAAAAAATGGTGATTCTTGAAACTGTGCAATGAAGCAGCCCTGACAATTCAAAAGTTTTATACTAAGTACTTTCAAAAACATCATCTAAAATTTTAATTAATGAAGTTTGGGGAAAGTTTAGTTTATGCCTCTTGCCTAAAAAAGATTTTAGCAACTGCAAAAAAAAAAAAAAAAAAAAAAAAAAAAAAAAAAATTTTGGGGAAAAAGG